AACAAAAGTATCCTCTTCACCCAGTTTTACAAAAGGATCTGTATGTTGAAATTCAGAAGCATAAACCATCAGTACAATTTAATGAGAGTGATGCGGCACGCTTTTATAAAAAATTATTAAACAAACAGTGCCAAGATCCTCGATAGTTTGTAGAAGTAACTTAGAAAGTAGTAACAAATACACTTACTGATCTCTTTTGGATAAGTCTGGATCAAATTATGTTATAGTGTGAGTTTGGAGAAGCCATTAGCCACAATAATACGGCAGGAATGAATTGTTACTATATGCCACTATCACTCTTTGTAGTTTTTGATAGTAATATGAAATCTCGAATAACTGCACAGGCACTTATTAGTAATAAAACTACTGAATCATACCAGTGAACTTTACAAATGACCAAAAAGCTACGCAAGGATGAATTCCCGGTGTAATTATTACTGATAGAGATCCTGCAATGGGATGCGTGATTATGGCTGAATATCCGACAGCTCAACATCTTCTTTGCATTTAGCACCTGAAGGAAAATATAAAAAAAATGCTTCATGAAAAGTTAGAACTACAATTTAATGAATTTTACTCTGCATTTTGGAAATGCTGTAATAGTGATACTTCTAATCTTTTTGAGCATTACTGGACTGAATTAATTATAAACTATGCAGCTGCAAGCCAATACCTTCAAAGTTAACTTTATGAATGATGTAGGTCCTGGGCATCTGGATTTACAACAACCCTATTTACACTTGGAATTGAGACAACTTCGTTTGTGGAAAGCCAAAACGCATGCATAAAACATATTATTGAAAGTAGTAATACTTCTCTATGTGAACTTGGTAAGGTTCTTATGGATATTTCTGAAAATAAAGTGAGACAAGAATAGTGTAAAGATCCGATTAGATTAACAGTAAATGGTGTAATGATATTTTCAAAAATCGAGGCACTTGTCAAACGCTACCTGCATTCAAATGTTACACAATTTTTAATTGATCAAATGAAAGAAAGTGTTTTTTATACAGCTTGTTATTCAAATATTAACGAAGTTGAGAATATGCTAGAAAGTGAATCATTTGAGAGTGACAATTTCGAAGATGAATATGATAGTATATATATGTGTGCATACTTTCTTTTACAGCATTTGAATCATGCTAATATTAATGAAGTATGGAATATTTCTAGAATCACAAACCGTAATGTAAATCACATGGTCTTTTGTTTTATTAATGGGTTATACATTTGCACTTGCTTGATGCAACAAAAGAAAGAGCTTGTTTGCCAACATTATTTTCATCTTTTAAATGTTACTAAGGTGGCTAGATTTAATATGCAACTTATTAACATTCGATGAATTCTTTAGGAACTTCGTGAAGATGCAGCAATTGAAGGTGATTACTTTGGGCAACAGTTTATAGATGGTACAGAGAACATGATGAATGTAAGCAAACCAAATCAATATTTTAAATGGCTTCAACTTTTTAATGATACAAATATACAAGATAGTAATAATGATAGTTTTATGGAAAAGCAGTTGTTATATAGAAAAGTGTGGGGTTTAGTATGCAATGCAATGGATAAATGTTTGCTATATAATGATACCGAATTTGTTAATATTATCAAAAACTATATAGCTAATGTGCATAAAAAAGAGAAGGAATTGGTTCAAGTTCAACAAGCAAATCAAAAAGGTATAATGGATTTAGATGGCTCCAATAAGAAGAATATGCTTTTAAGTGCTTCGTTCAAGAATCCATTAAAAGTTGCTACAAAGGAAAAACTAAAATTATCAAGCCATCATAATAATGATAAGTGTAATCCACCACCAACACATGAAACAGATAAACGAAAGCATAATCAACTACTATGTGAAACAACAAATCATATCAAGCAAAAGCGTAATCAACCACCAACATATGAAATAGCAATTAAACGAAAGCGTTTAAATTAATGTAGCTATTGTAAGGAATTTGATCATAATATTGCTACATGTTCGAAAAAGATGTAAATAGTTAGATACATGTGAATATTGAAATGTAATTTGTGCAAAGTATGCTATTACTATATTAATTTGCTATTGTTATGTATATTTAAATACTAATGCTACTAATATATACTAAATGAAAATCTCAAATAGAGTTCTTATATAATATATAAATGCAGCTTTTAATCATTCATTATATAGTCTTTTAATTACTTAGTTATTATTATTCTTATTTGATTATATATGTTATAGATCAAATTGTTTTTTAGATCAAGTCAAACTTAACCAGGTCAAATTGATCCCTAGCAGAATTTTAGGGTTAGGGTGAGCCTGAATTATGTTGATGCTGGCCAGGGCTTTTTAGTTAATTAATTTGATTTGAGTCAAGTTTAACTTGACCTAAAAACCAATTTGACCCGTAACATATATATAAGAATTTGATTAATTTTATATTTAATATTAGTATTAAAGTTCTAATCGATTATAATTGATATATATATATTATTATATAGTCATGTGTATGGGATGCACTGCAGTGCAGGTGCATATTTTTTTAAAACCCTAACTTTATTATTATAACTTTATTTGTTATATTTTTATTCGTTATAATTTCTTTATTATATTTTATTATTATTTTTTATAAACTTATTTCAAT